TGAAAATGCACAACGAATAAATGCAGTGAAGTGCTGAATAAGCATCGACACTTGACCACAACTCCAAGTGTATTATAAGCTACCTATATGGTAGAAAAAAGCAAATTGTAAGGGATTTTTTTTTGTCTTGCTTATAATATTATTATGTCGCCAGTAAAAACCAGGCTTCACACATTGCATTTTAAATATCCAGTTGAGCATTGGACATCACTTATGATGCTTTTTACTGAACAGAAATTATTCCACAAATTAAAATGCTTTTTTTAGCTAGCCTCCTCAGCAGCGCCCATTCCGGCTGAGAGCAGGCGGCTACTTTTTAGGGAAAACCGCAAATTTAGGGCATTTTTCGACTCATTACGACTTTTACGCAAGACTTTTTACGCGCGAAACACGACTTTTCACCCAGTTCCGCCAAAACTCAAACATAACAGGCGGCATGCATTCAAGGCAAGTATTGATGTTCGACACGGATACATTAGCCTCATCATTATCCAACCCACTCAAACAGATTTTTGGGGGGTTTATGTTCTTTTTTTATTCGCTGCTTGTATATTAAGCACTTATTAATTGCCACGACTTTTTACAAAGACTAATTAGTTTTTCACGCAGAAATTAAAGACGTCTTGCACTTTTGTTACTCTTCCAACACAAATCTATCAGTTATATGGACGTACTCGAATTTCAGGTCAACTGTCAAAGCGATAGATCCGTCTAGCTATTTATGTAAAGGCTATAATAACTGAATTTTTTAATTACATGTGGTTTGTATATCATTTGAATTTGCAATTCTGTGGCAGTTGCTGCCAGGAGCCCAAGGATTTTTTCTGTCCTTTACTTAATAAAAGATAAAAAAGGTCGTATGGCGAAATAACATATGATGATACATGCATGTGTCGGCAAAATATAAATACTTCCTATCTTACACGTTCACCATAATCCATGACAACATATCAGTATATCAATAGTGTTATACTGACTGTCACTTCGTTTCCTATGCCAAACTTATATGCAAATTATGATCGTAATTGTATAACATCTCATCTTACATCGCGTCAAAATTGGTAAAACTAGTCCTTGGTCATTGCCAACGCCGTCGCTACTATTAAACTGCTCAGTTTCGTCAGTACTGCTGCTACCAAGAAGACATGAATTAAAAATGTATCAATACAAACTTTCCAGGTTTGACTGCCAGTGCAGTTTTCCTCACAGTTCTTCCACAGTCGAAAGTTTGTGTTCAAATCCAACATTTTTAAATCTTTTCAACGTATTTTTAACGTAAGCCAAAGTCACCACGCACGACATATATGTTTCATAATTATATATCAAGACTGCATGGAAACGCCGAAAATGTAATTTACTCCTAGTCGGATAGAATTTCGCGGCGACCTCACGTTTCATGCTGCTGTGTTTATAAATTTATACTTATAACCTTTGCCCAATATACTCTGTAGCGGCTTTACTAAACTTTATATATAACCTTTATATATAAACTTTATATATAAACTTTATATAAACTTTATTACTTATTCTCTACATTTACACTAAAAATACGAGTAGAAAAATAAAAACTTAACAAGAACGCAAAAATGAATGAAAACAAGAATGATTACATATTTCAATATGCCAGCAGTCACTATTCACTAACTGCTCCGGCAATATGCACGCACGAATCAATCACTTGCCCTTTTGAATTCTGCTTTCGCGTCTATGACTACAACATCTTTAAAATGTTTTAATGTGTTTTAAGCCAAAGTCAGTACGCGCGAACGAAAGTGCAAACGAAAATCGTTAATACTAGTCGGATAGAATTGCGTGGCTTTTGACATATATTACAGTAAAATGTAGTGAACGGCCAAGCAGCAGAAGGTTTTATAGTTTATACTAATACTGATTAACTTTCGCCCAAACCTCAAATATACATGTCTGTAGCAATAATAGTCACATTGTAATTTTAATTATGTAGATATACACACTTTAACAAGAACGCAAAAAAATACTCAAAACAAGTATGATTGTATATCTCCACATGCTGCAGCCACTATTCGCTAACTGCTGTAGCAATATTATGCCCGCACGCGAAATCACTTGCCCATTTGATCCATCTGACAAATATTTTTCCAACGGAAAACACGGTGTCCATTGGATCCATTGGATCCAATGGACAATTCGTTTGGCTATCTCACTGGCCTTGTATCTACATGATGTCCGTGTGCTTGTCATTACGTCACTCAAATACATGGTAATTGACCAACTGAAAAAGAAAATGTCCGATGGAAATTCGACTTGTCCATTGGATCCAATGGACACACAAAACTCCAATGGACATTTCCAGGTCCATTGGATCCATTGGATCCAATGGACACTTTCGTT